AGCTTTTTTCCACTCTTTCTCCGGTAGGACATTGACTTGTGCCCCAGTGTCTAATTTGCATCTGAGGATGTCATTCCTCCCGGCGATATGTAGTTCTACAAATGCCTGGTCTCCTTCGTCATGTTTTCTGCACACGGTCTCTATGTGGAAGGCATGGAGATCCTCTTCTACCGTCCTCACTTCCTGGACATTCTTCGTCCTGCACACTGATGCGAAGTGATTGGGACGGGAACACTTGCGACAGGTCTGCCCGACAGCAGCGCATCTGTCGCCCTTTTGATGCTTTCTGCCGCATCTACCACACGTGTTTGTAGGCCTAGTACTAGTGTACTTTGGGATGCCCCCACTGCCACCTGACGCTCTGGCTTTCTTGTAGCTACGTACGTCTCTGGTCTTATGTTGGGTCTGCACTCCGTGTACTGTTGCCGCGGACTGGGTGATCGATTTCAATGTGGATTGGCTGGACTCGAAGCTCCTGGCGATATCCAGGGCGTTTGCTAACGTCAGCTCTGATCCCTTATTTATCAGTTTCACCCGAACTGCGTCTGAGTTGGTACCGAACACTAATCGGTCCACGATCATCTCATCTGTGTCTTTGAAGGCGCAGTCCCTGGCCAACAGTTTCAAATCTGTCACAAACTGTTCCACCGGCTCTTGTGGACCCTGCGTTCTATTGTGGAACTTGAAACGCGCTAACACCTTATTCGATTTCGGTTTGACATATGCTTCGAACGCGTCATAGTAGGTCTTCGGTTTGCCTTTGTCAGCATCATTGGCAAACTGGAAAGTGTTCAGGATATCTCGACCCTGTTCGTTGATCCAGATCTGCAGGAAACTGGCTTTCTCTGCATCTGATTTTTCACTTAACGGACCAGTAAACATTAGCTCAACATGCTGCTTGAAACGTTTCCACTCTTCGTCTAAGTTGGCACTGTCCCAGTTTATCTGTGGTGGCTTGCCTGTGTACTCCATTGTGTGGTTCTTGTTTACTTCAGGGTTTTGAGACTATTCAAACTGTCAGAATTTGACCTGTGTCTTCTACCCTATGCCCTGCCACTGGCTTGGCTGAGACGCATTCCAGATGCGATCTGGCGGTCTAGACTCAAATCCCTTGTGGGAGTATAGGAATTTTCCTACCTCGTGTTTTTCTGCCTTTTCCACTGGACTTTACCTCTACTTTTCCTCCTTCTTCACGAGTTGTGGGCTGTGGTTCGACTGACCTGACACCATGTTGTGTTCTTGGTCTTGAACTTGAGACGAGGCGGGTCGATACCTTTGGATGGTCTTTAATCAGGAGGGTTAGTAACTCTGAGGTACATAGATGCGTCTGCTCAATCTGGGGTCCCAGCAGAAAGAGGGAGAGTGGTAGGGTCCAGTTACTTGAGACCACTTGGGCTAGTCTAATACATGTAGTAAGAGAGGGGTGTTTCCTGGCTTGACTTTAATATCGCTACATGTATGTTTTCCCATTTCATACATCTAAGCAACAAAAATAAGTTCATATTTCTAATGGCTTTAGACAAACCTTCGATTATAAAACACATCTGTACTTATATCTTCATCGTTACTAAGAAGCGAGAAGAAGCCAAATTATCGTAATTATTAGACTACATGTCCATAGTACATAGAATTAGCACTAGCTTGTACATTGTATATATTCATTGCAAACTGTGACGTCTTTCCTGTGACCTGTACTGAACCCAGTGGGTATTTGCGTACGATAAAGGTCTTCATTCATTCATTCATTCATTCATTCATTCATTCATTCATTCATTCATTCATTCATTCATTCATTCATTCATTCATTCATTCATTCATTCATTCATTCATTCATTCATTCATTCATTCATTCATTCATTCATTCATTCATTCATTCATTCATTCATTCATTCATTCATTCAAAGTTCGCAGACCATGGGCATTGCTAACGGTAACAAGCAACCCGTGACCATCCTCGTGCCATTCTGTAAAAGGGCTGTGGACTACAGCAGTACAGAAAACCTGCTTCGGTCTTGTGAGGGAATCCCAGTTGGGAAGGACATTTTTATCTACAATGTGTTCAGGTAAAAGAAGTCTGTCTGCATGTCTGTCCGTCTGTCTGTCTGTCGCTCTGTACATGTACAATGATTTCAACAAATCTGCATGATATATGACGCATGACTAGTACTACGAGTTATTTTTCTGATGTCTAAAAGTGGTCTGAAAGTTTATCTCATGAGCTATCCTAGTCTAGATCTCCTGTAATAGTCTACATCATCACTGTCATTTAGAGAATTATTCACATAATATGTATCATTATGTAATACATGTATTGATTGTCATTATTCAACATTAATCAAGATTACTAGTATGTTGAATCAGTATCGAAGGAGAAAGGTTTATTAGCATAAGCCATCTGGTAATGACTACTGGTAGAACTGGAATAGCGAGTACGAGACTACTCAATCTTGCGATTGACGTCTACTCGCTCCGGTTTGTGGTGACAACTAGACTAAGACTTCCTAAAACCATGGCTAAACAACAGCCCGTGTCCATCCTGGTGCCGTTCTGTTACAGGGCTGTGGACTACAGCACTACAGAAAACCTGCTTCGGTCTTGTGAGGGAATCCCAGTAGGGAAGGTCATCTTTAGCTATCTAGAAAAGGGTGAAAGTCTCTTGGACTACTTCTATCGACTGAAGGAAGTAAGTTACAAATTTCTCTCTTTGCATGTCCTTTTTCATCAGGTGTCATCAAGCCTTTCAGTCTTCGTACTAGTAATTCAGTCGCTCGAAGTTGATGGCTTTATTTCTACGAAATGCGTAATAGCTAGCGTTCCTGGCGGTCGACCTGTCTGGTGGTTACCGCGTGCACCCCACACTGTGCCGCCCCCAGTGTCACTGATCAGGGGTAGGGGACAGGGTAATCCTACGGCAGCGACAACACCGGCTACGTAATAGCTACCAAGTGTTAACCATAAAACGTAGGCGCTGAATTACTCGCCAAGTGTAGTCAAACTTGTCTAGTATTCGATTAAGTCACAAACGTGTGTCTGAGAAAATGTATTTTAGTATTTTTAATATTCCGGAGGACTGGATGGCCGTGGGCCTGACATCAGTATCATATTTACGTCTGTTCACACGAAGTTCACTTAACACACACCAATCAGTGTAAACGACAACTGAACCCAAGGTTCTTGGACCTAGAAAACTTACATTTTGACGTGAGTAGGTTTTCTTTTGTTTTAGATTGTCTACAAGTAATCATTTTTAATTACCACTTTTGTCAGACTAGTACCTGACATGAACCACAATGTTTATTCGAAGCTATTTGTCATACGTACTTTAAGCGTATGGACATCACGTTTCCTTCCTATGGTTCTTTCAGACGTTGCCAAGTTAGCAACACTCTTTTAGTTTTGACTCTATTGAGTGACATCGTTTTTAGCCTACAACTTTAAATTAGTTGGTACAGCCGTTGTCATCATCAAGAGATGTCGGGTGTCGCCTCTTTGAATACACTTTGCATACTGGTAGAACCGGTAGTACACAACGAGAACGCGTACGAGACCAGTAGGAACGCTGTCTAGTTCACTCCAGGGTTTGTGGTGACAACTAGTCTAAGAGTTCCCAGACAATGGGCATTGCTTACGCTAACAAGCAACCTGTGACCATCCTCGTGCCGTTCTGTAAAAAAGCTGTGGACTACAGCACTACAGAAAACCTGCTTCGGTCTTGTGAGGGAATTTCCGTAGGGAAGGTCATCTTAAGCCACCTTCAAGGGGGTGAAAGTCTCTTGGACTACTTCTACCGACTGAAAGAAGTGAGAAACTCTTTGGCATTAGTAGGCCTTTAATTTAATTCTTCGTAATGCGAAGGCAGCTGTTCAAACTCAACCTGATACATGGTCAGTACATTCAAGCGTATGTACGTAAATTAGTCGTCAAACTATTTTCTCAAAATATTTTCTCAAGTCACAAAATATTTGTGTCTGGTTGTCTGAGAATGGAGGGTGGCGTACAGTATCTCCTGAGGCTTAGACGACGTTATAACGTCAATATATTACCTGATTAGAGTCAACAGTGCTCAAATTGCTCAAATTGCAGTGAAGTATGCCGTTTTCTTTGAAGACGCCACTTTTGTAACTGACCTTTCTGGGTGCCTCCGGCACAAGGGATAGGTATGCATTATGTTCAGTTGAGGTTACACATGCCTATGTACTGACTCTAGCATTTCTCGTCTTGATTTTATGTCATTACGACAAACCAAGGTAGCCTGGAGTCACGCCTTGTTATTAGCTTAAATCTAGTCTGCTCCCCATGATCGGCGGTGAACGAGTAGTGGATCTTGGAAAGCGGACTAAAGCTAACAAGGCTGGACTCCAGGCTAAAGCCAAGGTGCACAGATAATGATGGCCCCTGTATGATAATTTTGTTGCCTACGTAGATGCACTAAAAATAGAAATTTGCACCATTGAAAATCATATAACACTATGCTATATGCTTCAATCAGAAGCAAGCTGTGAAGTTTTATCATATCACGACATTTTAAGAAGCTATCAATGGATTGTCACGAAAGTGGGTAAGTGGGTAAGTCTTTATTTATATGAGAAATGATTAGATTTTTGGCACCCTAACGGCTTGTTTCGGTACTGCAGCGGAACTTCCGATTTCTCGTGAAAAGGGGCGCTAGGGTCACGCATGTTAGACGATAGATGATAGCTCGGAAGGATCTGACATTTGGGCTACCTAACAGCTTGTTCCGGAACTGCAGGAGGGTTTGATTAAAAATCTTCGAGAGAGGGTAACACAAGAACCAGTTGACGGATCGTCGTGACTTTCGGTATGTAGGTAGCTTAAGATGCCACGTTAGAAACATCCATTGGGGCCCTGCATGTCCTTTTTATCGATATCAGGCGTAACCAGGCCTTTTAACACTTTGTAGTGGTAGGATCCTTGATTAAGACATTACGACAAATTCAAAAGTACTGATGATGATGATGACCCCTCGCTCTATGATTAACAGAAATTTGGACATGAGTAAGTTTTGTTTGCTTTCTGATTGTGGAGTTGTCTGCGTGTAATCGTTTACCCTCTTTGACGGACACTTGTCTACCAGGCAAATCGTGTAACACTAGGTTTTACAATTCGAAGCTTTGTGACACTCCTACATAATTAGCACATGGAGACTATTTTCTTCCTAAGCTTCTTCTAGACGTTACCAAGTTAGCAACACTTCTTTAGTTTTGACCCCATTGAGTTACGTTGTTTTTGAGACAACTCTGACTTAGTTGATACAGTGTTTGTCTCTATCAATTTAATAAACTTATGCATCTTGAAATTTCATACAACATCAACTAAACGTGTTACCGGTATTCATGGAATTAAACTGAAATTGCACTTTGATCCATGCTATTATTTAAGCGTCATTTCAATTGGTATTGTTATTTTCATTGTTGTCCATCTAGATTGTTACCGACAATGACGTCAATGTGGTTCTGGCACTCTACGACATTGCTACGCTCGTGCAATCGGCTCTGTCACGAGAGTTCCCGAATCGATTCGAAGGGCCGAGTGTGGAGTCGTCGTTTCTCGCCTATCACAAGGTGTACACCAGCCAGTGTCTGGACCCGGACTCCGAGTCTTCTGCTCACGGCGTCTTGGACTTGGACTCACCGACCCTTCCTGAAGATGCCGCGACTCTGTTAAAGAGGGTGGAGCTTCCTGCCTTTGCAAAGGTATAGAAGCCAAGCATCTGTTGTTACTTTATTTTTATTACAGTAGATATCATCAGTCTATGTCCCAAACTAGATTTGAAAATTTGATTACAAATTTAGATTTTTTTGTGGGCTACAATGTAATATTCTATGATTGTTGTTGTTTTAGGTTCCGTGCGGCGATGCCTCTCAGGGCGTTTGGAAGATCAGCAGCCCCAGTCAGCTGACGGATGTACTGGAAGAGATGGGACGTATTAACGAGGGGCATTACTCCCAGGTCAGTCACCAAGACTAGAAACATTTACCCGACATTTTTTTTAAATAAAACTATATAGCGGTTTGGAAAAGTTGTAAGAAAAATGTTGTGACCAGTCAGTTACGTGTTAAAAATACGTTATTGTACAACATACAGTTAACATCACTGAATCATCTCCCATGGCCCTCTCTCTCACAGAATGAACACATCAGCAACGCGACCTTCTTGCGTGACTTCATACTGAAGATACTGGATGTGGACCACTACCCGATGGTTCTGAGGAACACTATCATAGTAGAGCCGTACATTGATGCACCGGCAAAGGTAACTTTTCCACCAAGCTGTACAGAGTTATTATGACATAATTTAACCGAATGCAGGGGGTCTGCATAATATAACAAAGAATGATACTGTTCTTTTCATTTCTGTCAAGTAATGATAAGCAAAGAAACATACTGAAAGTTTGCGATAGTTCAAAACGTCAAAAAGGGGAACTTCTGATTTTAAAAATGTATATGTGCATGCCCACATCAGGTGTGTGTGGACGGATGTGTTTACAACAAAGAGATCATCCACTGGGCCATCTCTGACAGTCTCCACTGGCCGGGACAAGATATCCCCTTCCAGGGAAGCTACATGCCTTCTACCCTACCAGGTAGGTTAAGATTAATTTTTTTTAATTTTTTAAACAGTCTACAGGTGCATATGTTCTCATAATGGGGGACACGTTTTCTATAGTTACGTTTTGCACTGAATTTACCATCATCAGTTGATGAATCCTGCTGCTAACACCTGTATAGTGCTGTCTCAACTACTACTTCCATGTTCCACGTTGGCATTCTTTGTCATTTTGTAGGCATATGTTTTTGTATGTCCTACAATACGTTTGTAAATAGATTGTTGTTTTACGCCATCCGCAGACGCGGTGCAGAGGCGACTGTGGGGCGGATTTGACAAGGTGGTGGGCAGGATGGTGGACCACGGATTCAACAACCAGTTTGTACATGTGGAGTACTTCATCCTGGCTGACGGACAGGTACTCTTTGTTTTAGGCTTTAGAACAAGTTTAGTAACACTGTAATACCTTTTAACTAGGAAGACCTTTTTTCCGAGTTGCAATTGTTATAATTTCCGTTCCACGCGGAGATTTCAGTTAAAAGATCATGGATACTTTATCTGAACTAGCAATGTTGCTAACACAAATGGCAGGCATGTTAACTTGTGTGGATAGTGTTCAGCACCAAGGACGGGTATGTTAACCTGTGTGGATAGTGTTCAGTACCGAGAACAGGTATGTTAACCTGTGTGGACAGTGTTCAGCACCAAGGACAGGCATGTTAACCTGTGTGGATAGTGTTCAGCACCAAGACGGGTATGTTAACCTGTGTGGACAGTGTTCAGCACCAAGGACAGGCATGTTAACCTGTGTGGATAGTGTTCAGCACCAATGACGGGCATGTTAACCTGTGTGGATAGTGTTCAGTACCAAGGACGGTCATGTTAACCTGTATGGTATAGTGTTCAGAACCAAAGACAGGTATGTTAACCTGCGTGGATAGTATTCAGTACCGAGGACAGGCATATTTATCTGTGTTGTAGTGCTGCGGCTACGTCTACATTCAGATGCTATTAAAACGTTTTCTCTAACCAGCTCCTCTAACACTACTGTACAAACTTTCCCCCGCAGATCAAGCTGATTGAGGTGAATGCCCGTATGTCCGGTAACCTGAGCGGCCTGTACGCGGCCTGCCTGTCGGGCCCGCTGCCTCTACAGACGCTCCTCGGGCTGTGCTGCGGAGTCCGGCCCGTCCCTCCTGTACCCACGGGACGGGCTGCTCTCAACCTGCCTCTCCAAGTCCGCGGCGACTACACGGGGAAGGTCGGAGACATGGTCAACAAAGCTGAGCTGGAAATCCTGAAGAAAGACCCTGACGTCAAGATCACTTGGGTCATGTCTTTTGACGAGGAGTTTCTCCTTGGTAAGACGGAGTTTGCGAAGGTTTGGACGTACGGAGCGACCCCTGACGACGCAAAGAAGAAGTACAGGGAAGTGATGCAGCGCGTGGTGAAGAAACCGGAGCATTTGAAGTTTAACTTCCCGTGAATACTAGTACTCTATTTCAACGAGAAATATAATGGTGCACTGGGTAAAAACCTTCGAACTCGTAGACAGGGGCTGAATGAAAAAATGTGAAACAAATTCATTCGTACATACTCTCATATCAATCCATATACTAAATGCATGATACGGGTATCTATATGTAACGTTATATAGCATGGCAGATAACTTATAAATGTAACAACGTATTTATTTTTCGAAAACAAACGAAAGAATTCTGTAACTGTTAAATTGCGTAGTGTTTACGCATTGTTTTAGGTAAGTTAACGTTCTTTGTATGGTGTTGGAACTTAATGTTTGGGATTAATTTCTTTGTTTCAAAATACTCCCGCGATGAAAGGTTTAAGCAGTACATGTGTATTAATATCATGAGAATGCAAGCTTCGTGGTAATATTTTATCTTTCGCATTTTTTTAGATGTTTATTGGGATGGCCATGTAATAGCCCGCATATTGCACCATTCGAATGAAAGCTCATCTGTATTGGTAAAATCCATAGTTGTAGACTTTTAAGCTTTGTTCCAGCACAAGGAAGGAAGTCACAAGGAAATTATCACATGTATTAGCTGATGACTCTCTGGAATATACTTTGATATTGTATCTTTGTTGCTATCTACGTATTACATGTATTGTCTTATCTATATTGTCTCCATTGAACATTGTTAATAAAGACTTTGTAATGACTACTTGTAGAATCGGAATAGCGAGTACGAGACTAACTGTACTGCCGAAAGCTGTCGTCTCCTCGAAAAAGCTGTGGACTACAGCACAGAAAACTTTCTTTGGACTCAAGATGAGGGAACCCCGATAAGTAATGACATTAATGTTATCGCTGTAGGGAAGGTTATATTCAACTACGATGTGTTCGGGTAAAAGCACCTCTCTGTAATTACTGGTAGAACCGGTACTCGTAAAATCAAGTACATGTACATAACGAGAACAAGACGACTGGAAAAGCTGTCGTCTACTCTCCAGGGTTTCTGGTGACAACTAGTCTGAGAGTTCCCAAACCATGTCTAATGGTAACACTGAGCAACCCGTGACCATCCTGGTGCCGTTCTGTTACAGAGCTGTGGATTACAGCACTACAGAAAACCTGCTTCGGTCTTGTGAGGGAATCCCAGTAGAGAAGGTCTTCTTTAGCTACCTAGAAGAGGGTGAAAATCTCTTGGACTACTTCTACCGACTGAAAGAAGTGAGAAGCTCTTCGGAAACTTGAATGCCCTTTTTTCAGGCATAATGAAGCCTTTTAACTCAAATTCATAATACGCAATACATGCTCGATATCAGTGCAGTCAAGCGTATGCACGTAAATTACTCGTCAAGTGTAGTCAAACTTGTCTAGTATTGTCTTATGTTGTTTCAAAGGTGTGCCTGGTTGTCAGTTGAGAATGGAGGGTTTCGTACAATTTTTCCAATATTCATGTGGCTTAAACGACGTTACAACGTCAATATGTTACATGATTTGGGTCAAAATTGTATCTATGCATGGAGCGGGCAGGCCCAAAAGTGAAATGTGCAATGGATTGTGCCGTCACAGTGTCCTTTGAAGACGCCATTTTTGTGAGTGACCTTTCGAGGTGCCTCCGGCACAAGGGATGGGTAGGTTCAGCTGAGGTTACAAATACCCATGTAATGACTCCAGCATGTATCGTCTTGATTTTATACCATTACGACAAACCAAGGTAGCCTTGAGTCGTCTACTCTCCAGGGTTTCTGGTGACAACTAGTCTGAGAGTTCCCAAACCATGTCTAACACTGAGCAACCCGTGACCATCCTGGTGCCGTTCTGTAAAAAAGCTGTGGATTACAGCACTACAGAAAACCTGCTTCGGTCTTGTGAGGGAATCCCAGTAGGGAAGGTCATGTTTAGCTACCTAGACGAGGGTGAAAATCTCTTGGACTACTTCTACCGACTGAAAGAAGTGAGAAACTCTTTGGCATTAGTAGGCCTTTAATTTAATTCTTCGTAATGCGAAGGCAGCTGTTCAAACTCAACCTAATACATGATCAGTACATTCAAGCGTATGTACGTAAATTATTCGTCAAACTATTTTCTCAACATATTTTCTCAAGTCACAAAGGTGTGTCTGGTTGTCTGAGAATGGAGGGTGGCGTACAGTATCTCCTGAGGCTTAGACGACGTTATAACGTCAATATATTACCTGATTAGAGTCAACAGTTCTCAAATTGCAGTGAAGTATGGCGTTTTCTTTGAAGACGCCACTTTTGTAACTGACCTTTCTGGTTGCCTCCGGCACAAGGGATAGGTATGCATTATGTTTAGCTGAGGTCACACATGCCTATGTACTGACTCTAGCATTTCTCGTCTTGACTTTATGTCATTACGACAAACCAAGGTAGCCTTGAGTCAAGGCTTGTTAGCTTAAATTTAGTCTGCTCCCCAAGATCGGCGGTGAACGAGTAGTGGATCTTGAGGAGAAGACTAAAGCTAACAAGGCTGGACTCCAGTCCTGTTAGCTTTAGTCCAAGGTGCACAGATAATGATGGGCCCTCTATGACAATTGTTTGCCTAGATGCTACCAGGCTGTAACATTCACACAAACAACTATTTGAGGCACTTGAAACATTTATTTCCACCACAAAACGTTTTGATGGTCCTTCCAGTGATACCACATACGATAACCTCATATGATCATATGTTATATATATATTTCCTCACATTGTATTATATTCAATTGCCTATGACCTCTGACCTCCAAAAAAGTATATTATTATCATTATCGTGATTGAATACTTTTATTATGCTCTGTACTTAAGTCTTAATTGTACTTAATTGAAATTTTATATTGTTAATTGATTGATTTTAGCTTAATGTAGCACCATTGAAAATCATATAACACTATGTTATATGCTTCAATCAAAAGCAAGCTGTGATGTTTGGTCATATCACGATATTTTAAGAAACTATCAATGGTTTGTCACGAAACTGGGTAAGTGGGTAAATCTTTATTCATATGAGACCTAGAAATGATTAGATTTTGGGCACCCTAACGGCTTGTTTCGGTACTGCAGCGGAACTTCCGATTTCTCGTGAAAAGGGGCGCTACGGTCTCGAATGTTAGACGATAGATGATAGCTCATGTGCTCGGGAAGATCTGACATTTAGGCTACCTAACAGCTTGTTCCGGAACTGCAGGAGGGTTTGATTAAAAATCTTCGAGAGAGGGTAACACAAGAACCAGTTGACGGGTCGTCGTGATTTTCGGTATGTAGGTAGCTTAAGATGCCACGTTAGAAACATCCATTTAGTTGTGATCATATTGAGTTGCAAGGTCTTTCAGGGTACAGCTCTGAATTCGTTGATACAACGATTTTCTCTCTAAATAAACTTATGCAGCTTTAAATGTCCTGTAGGCTGTAACACAAACTAAACGGATTCTCGGTATGCCGGTGATACTATTTTAGCTTCATGAAAATGATTTTTTCATTGTTGTCCGTCTAGGTTATTGACGACAATCACGTCAATGTGGTTCTGGCACTCTTTGACGTTGCTACGCTCGTGCAGTCTGCTCTGTCACGAGAGTTCCCGAACCGACTCGAAGGGCCGAGTGTGGAGTCGTCGTTTCTCGCCTATCACAAGGTGTACACCAGCCAGTGTCTGGACCCGGACTCCGAGTCTTCTCCTCACGGCGTCTTGGACTTGGACTCACCGACCCTTCCTGAAGATGCCGCGACTCTGTTAAAGAGGGTGGAGCTTCCTGCCTTTGCAAAGGTATAGAAGCCATGCATCTGTTGTTACTTTATTTTTATTACAGTAGATATCATCAGTCTATGTCCCAAACTAGATTTGAAAATTTGATTACAAATTTAGATTTTTTTGTGGGCTACAATGTAATATTCTATGATTGTTGTTGTTTTAGGTTCCGTGCGGCGATGCCTCCCAGGGCGTTTGGAAGATCAGCAGCGCCAGTCAGCTGACGGATGTACTGGAAAAGATGGGACGTATTAACGAGGGGCATTACTCCCAGGTCAGTTACCAAGACTCAAAACATTTACCCGACATTTTTTTTAAATAAACTATATAGCTGTTTGGAAAAGTTGTAAGAAAAATGTTGTGACCAGGCAGTTACATTTTAAAATGCATTATCGTACAACATACAGTTATCATCACTGAATCATCTCCGATGGCCCTCTCTCTCATAGAATGAACACATCAGCAACGCGACCTTCATGCGTGACTTCATACTGAAGGTACTGGATGTGGACCACTACCCGATGGTTCTGAGGAACACTATCATAGTAGAGACGTACATTGATGCACCGGCAAAGGTAACTATTCCACCAAACTGTACAGAGTTATTATGACATAATTTAACCGAATGAAGGGGGCTGCATAATATAACAAAGAATGATACTGTTCTTTTAATTTCTGTCAAGTAATGATAAGCAAAGAAACATACTGAAAGTTTGCGATAGTTCAAAACGTCAAAAAGGGGAACTTCTGATTTTGAAAATGTATATGTGCATGCCCACATCAGGTGTGTGTGGATGGATGTGTTTATAACAAAGAGATCATCCACTGGGCCATCTCTGACAGTCTCCACTGGCCGGGACAAGATATCTCCTTCCAGGGAAGCTACATGCCTTCTGCCCTACCAGGTAGGTTAAGATAAGTTTTCGATTTTTTAAACAGTCTACAGGTGCATATGTTCTCATAATGGCGACACATTTTCTATAGTTACGTTTTGCACTGAATTTGCCATAATCAGTTGATGAAATCTGCTGCTAAAACCTGTATAGTGCTGTCTCAACTACTACTTTCACGTTCCACGTTGGCATTCTTTGTCATTTTGTATGTTTTTTTGTATGTCCTACAATACGTTTGTAAATAGATTGTTGTTTAACACCATCCACAGACGCGGTCCAGAAGCGACTGTGGGGCGGATTTGACAAGGTGGTGGGCAGGATGGTGGACCACGGCTTCAACAACCAGTTCGTACATGTGGAGTACTTCATCCTGGCAGACGGACAGGTACTCTTTGTTTTAGGCTTTAGAACAAGTTTACTAACACTGTAATACCTTTTAACTAGGAAGACCTTTTTCCGAGTTGCAATTGTTCTAATTTCCGTTCCACGCGGAGATTTCAGTTAAAAGATCATGGATACTTTATCTGAACTAGCAATGTTGCTAGCACAAATGACAGGCATGTTAATCTGTGTATATAGTGTTCAGCACCAAGGACAGGCATGTTGGACTGCATGGATTGTGTTCAGCACCAAGGACAGGCATGTCAACCTGTGTGGATAGTGTTCAGCACGAAGGACGGGCATGTTAACCTGTGTGGATAGTGTTCAGCACCAAGGACAGGCATGTTAACCTGTATGGGATAGTGTTCAGCACCCAGGACAGGCATGTTAACCTGTGTGGATAGTGTTCACCACCAAGGACAGGCATGTTAACCTGCGTGGATAGTGTTCAGTACCAAGGACGGTCATGTTAACCTGTATGGTATAGTGTTCAGAACCAAAGACAGGTATGTTAACCTGCGTGGATAGTGTTCAGTACCAAGGACGGTCATGTTAACCTGTATGGTATAGTGTTCAGAACCAAAGACAGGCATGTTAACCTGCGTGGATAGTATTCAGTTCCGAGGACAGGCATATTTATCTGTGTTGTAGTGCTGCGGCTACGTCTACATTCAGATGCTATTAAAACGTTTTCTCTAACCAGCTCCTCTAACAGTACTGTACAAACTTTCCCCAGCAGATCAAGCTGATTGAGGTGAATGCCCGTATGTCCGGTAACCTGAGCGGCCTGTACGCGGCCTGCCTGTCGGGCCCGCTGCCGGTGCAGGTTCTCCTCGGGCTGTGCTGCGGAGTCCGGCCCGTCCCCCCTGTACCCACGGGACGGGCTGCTCTCAACCTGCCTCTCCAAGTCCGCGGCGACTACACGGGGAAGGTCGGAGACATGGTCAACAAGTCTGAGCTGGAAATCCTGAAGAAAGACCCTGACGTCAAGATCACTTGGGTCATGTCTTTTGACGAGGAGTTTCTCCTTGGTAAGACGGAGTTTGCGAAGGTTTGGACGTACGGAGCGACCCCTGACGACGCAAAGAAGAAGTACAGGGAAGTGATGCAGCGCGTGGTGAAGACACCTGAGCATTTGAAGTTTAACTTCCCGTGAATACTAGTACTCTATTTCAACGAGAAATATAATGGTGCACTGGGTAAAGCCTTCGAATTCACAGACAAGGGCTGAATGAAAAATGTGAATCAAATTCATTCGTACATACTCTCATATCAATCCATATACTAAATGCATGATACGGGTATCTATATGTAACGTTATGTAGCATGGCAGATAACTTATAAATGTAACAACATATTTATTTTTCGAAAACAAACGAAAGAATTCTAGTAACTGTTAAGTTGCGTAGTGTTTACGCCTTGGTTTAGGTAAATTAACGTTCTTTGTATGGTGTTGGAACTTATGTTTGGGTCCTGCGATGAAAGGTTTAAGCAGTACATGTGTATTAATATCATGAGAATGTAAGCTTCGTGCTAATATTTTATCTTTCGTATTTTTTTAGATGTTTATTGGGATGGCCATGTAATAGCCCGCATATTGCACCATTCGAATGAAAGCTCATCTGTATTGGTAAAATCCATAGTTGTAGACTTTTAAGCTTTGTTCCAGCACAAGGAAGGAAGTCACAAGGAAATTTATCACATGTATTAGCTGATGACTCTCTGGAATATACTTTAATATTGTATCTTTGTTGCTATCTACGTATTACATGTATTGTCTTATTTATATTGTCTCCATTGAACATTGTTAATAAAGACTTTGTAATGACTACTTGTAGAATCGGAATAGCGAGTACGAGACTAACTGTACTACCGAAAGCTGTCGTATACTCGAAAAAGCTGTGGACTACAGCACAGAAAACTTTCTTTGGACTCATGATGAGGGAACCCCGATACGCAATGACATTAATGTTATTGCTGTAGGGAAGGTTATATTCAACCACGATGTGTTCGGGTCAAAGCACCTCTCTGTAATTACTGGTAGGTAGAACCGGTACTCGTAAAATCAAGTACATGTACATAACGAGAACAAGACGACTGGAAAAGCTGTCGTCTACTCTCCAGGGTTTGTGGTGACAACTAGTATCCAAACCATGTCTAATGGTAACACTGAGCAACCCGTGACCATCCTGGTGCCGTTCTGTTACAGAGCTGTGAATTACAGCACTACAGAAAACCTGCTTCGGTCTTGTGAGGGAATCCCAGTAGGGAAGGTCTTCTTTAGCTACCTACAAGAGGGTGAAAGTCTCTTGGACTACTTCTACCGACTGAAAGAAGTGAGAAGCTCTTCGGAAACTTGAATGCCCTTTTTTCAGGCATAATGAAGCCTTTTAACTCAAATTCGTAATACGCAATACATACTCGTTATCAGTGCAGTCAAGCGTATGCAAGTAAATTACTCGTCAAGTGTAGTCAAACTTGTCAAGTACTGTCTTATGTTTCAAAGGTGTGCCTGGTTGTCAGCTGAGAATGGAGGGTTCCGTACAATTTTTCCAATATTTATGGGGCTTAGACGACGTTACAACGTCAATATGTTACATGATTTGGGTCAAAATTGTATCTATGCATGGAGTGGGCAGGCCCAAAAGTGAAATGTGCAATGGATTGTGCCGTCACAGTGTCCTTTGAAGACGCCATTTTTGTGAGTGACCTTTCGAGGTGCCTCCGGCACAAGGGAAAGGTTTGTTCAGTTGAGGCTACAAATACCCATGTAATTACTCCAGCATGTATCGTCTTGATTTATACCATTACGACAGGCCCAGCTGTACAGATGATGATGGCTCCACTATGATAATTGTTTGCATAGATGCATCGAGAATAGAAATTTGCAACATCAAAATCATATACATGTAACACGGTATGTGCTTCATTCAATAGCAAGCTTTGGTCATAGCCGCTCCCGGAGTATGTCACCCTAGATGAAACATACCTATTTACTGAACTAAACAGGCATAGACTCCGTCCAGTCTTACCAGAAGCAGGGGTGTAAATGTGAGATTTAATGTAGATTTTCTATAAACTAAAAATAATGTAATATAATATGACTACAGAAAAAACCGTTATTGCCAAGTTTGCGAAACCACGCGGACAATAATTGCGCAATGATCTGAAAACTGGAGCGGAATAATTTTTGATTGACAGAAAAGGGGTCAGGCAGAGTGCAGCGACAAATAGACCTTGCACCGTTATATATATATATGGATGGCAAAATGACAGCATTTAGGGTCCAGGGTGTCTGTTTCGTCCCATTTGATGTGTGTGCGTATTTTGTGTGCCCTCGTGTGTGTGTTTGTACATGTATGTGGTTTTGCACAATAACTCAAGAAGCTATCGATGGATTCTCACGAAACTAGGTAGGCGTTGGTTGATGAGACCACCATTTTAGGAACCCTAAAGGCTTCTTATGGTACTGCAGCGGAAAAATTCATGTTCTGATATTTCGTGGTATGGGGTGCTATGGTCACAAATTTTCCATGATAGATAACTCATGTGCTCGGGAAGGAGTGACATTAGTTTGGGCTACCTAGCAGCTTGTTTTGCAGGATGGTTAGTTTGAAAAGGGAGGATAACTCAAGAACCGGTTGACGGTTAGTAGTATATAGTCGTGACTTTTTGGTATGCAGGTGCCTAAGAAATTAGAGACTTTAAATGTTCTGTAGGCTGTAACATAAACTAAACGGGTCGTCGGTATTACTAGGATTAAAACTGTAATGGCAGGAATACCCGTACGCAAGTACATTAACATGTCGTTATGTAGCCTGTATAATGTCCTTGCCATAGGGAAGGTTATCTTTAGCTACGATCTGTTCAGGTAAATTACACCTGTAGAACAAGTACTCGCAATAGCCAGTACATAGCGAGAACGGCGGTACTGGGAAAGCTGTCGTCTACTCTCTAGGGTTTCTGGTGACAACTAGTCTGACAGTGCCCAAAACATGTCTAATGGTAACACTGAGCAACCCGTGACCATCCTGGTGCCGTTCTGTTACAGGGCTGTGGACTACAGCACTACAGAAAACCTGCTTCGGTCTTGTGAGGGAATCCCAGTAGGGAAGGTCATCTTTAGCTACCTAGACGAGGGTGAAAATCTGTTGGACTACTTCTACCGACTAAAAGAAGTGAGAAACTCTTTAGGAACTTGAATGTTCATTTTTAACAGGCGTGATTTGGTCTTTTAATTCTTCGTAATGCGAAGGCAGCTGCTCAAATTCAACCTAATACACAATCAGTACATTTAAGCGTATGTACGTAAATTAGTCGTCAAACTATAGTCAAACTTATCTAGTATTTTCTCAAGACACAAAGGTACGTCTGGTTGTCTGAGTATGGAGGGTGGCGTACAGTATCTCCCGAGGCTTAGACGACGTTATAACGTCAATATATTACCTGATTAGAGTCAAACGTGCACCTATACTTGGAGCTGGCAGGCTCAAATTGCAGTGAAGTATGCCGTTTTCTTTGAAGACGCCACTTTTGTAACTGCACCTTTCTGGGTGCCTCCGGCACAAGGGATAGGTATGCATTATGTTCAGTTGAGGTTACACATGCCTATGTACTGACTCTAGCATTTCTCGTCTTGATTTTATGTCATTATGACAAACCAAGGTAGCCTTGAGTCAAGCCTTGTTAGCTTAAATTTAGCCTGCTCCCCAAGATCGGCGGTGAACAAGAAGTAGATCTTGAGGAAAAGACTAAAGCTAACAAGGCTGGACTCCAGGCTAAAACCAAGGTGCACAAATAATGAAGGCCCTCTATGATAATTGTTTGCCTAGATCAATGGATTGTCACGAGACTTAGAAATGATTCAATTTTGGGCACCCTAACGGCTTGTTTCGGTACTGCAGCGGAACTTCCGATTTCTCGTGAAAAGTGGCGCTAGGGTCACGAATGTTAGACGATAGATGATAGCTCATGTGCTCGGAAGGATCTGACATTTGGGCTACCTAACAGCTTGTTCCGGAACTGCAGAAGGGGTTTGATTAAAAATCTTCGACAGAGGGTAACACAAGAACCAGTTGAAGGATCGTCGTGATTTTCGGTATGTCGGTAGCTTAAGATGCCACGTTAGAAACATCCATTTAGTTGTGATTATATTGAGTTGCAAGGTCTTTCAGGGTACAGTTCTGAATTCGTTGATACAACGATTTTCTCTCTAAATAAACTTATGCAGCTTTAAATGTCCTGTAGGCTGTAACACAAACTAAACGGATTCTCGGTATCCCAGTGATACTATTTTAGCTTCATGAAAAGGATTTTTTTTCATTGTTGTCCGTCTAGGTTATTGACGACAATCACGTCAATGTGGTTCTGGCACTCTTTGACGTCGCTACGCTCGTGCAGTCGGCTCTGTCACGAGAGTTCCCGAATCGACTCGAAGGACCGAGTGTGGAGTCGTCGTTTCTCGCCTATCACAAGGTGTACACCAGCCAGTGTCTGGACCCGGACTCCGAGTCTTCTGCTCACGGCGTCTTGGACTTGGACTCGCCGACCCTTCCTGAAGATGCCGCAACTCTGTTAAAGAGTGTGGAGCTTCCTGCCTTTGCAAAGGTATAGAAGCCATATCCCCTTCTAGAGGTGAAGATTTGATTACAAATGCAAAGTAAATATCTCAGCTTTTCAGACATAGACTGAGTGACATTTTAGGCTATTACCATGTTTGTTGTTGTTTTAGGTTCCTTGCTGTGATAACTCCCAGGGCGTTTGGAAGATCAGCAGCGCCAGTCAGCTGACGGATGTACTGGAAGAGATGGGACGTATTAACGAAGGGCATTACTCCCAGGTGGGTTACCAAGACTCATTTTCCCAGTTCAAGTACGGTGCTCTGTTAGTTGCTGCCCTGTGTTGACAGTATTTTGTTATCGTGTATTGATGTGTTTAAGATCACGATAAGAATAGCTTACAGAGATGTCAAGCTAAATTGTGTATCCCAGTGAAGTCAAATCACCCAGACTACCCGTTTTAAGCAAGTTTCAATTGTTTTCATGTACAACAATAAAATTACGAGAACGTCAAACATTGTCAAACTTTCCAGAAGTGTGGATCAAATATCCTGTCATCTATGTCCTAAGTGACGAACTCCATGTTCTCTTTGTGGTCATATTTCTTTCATTCTCTTTGTGGTCATATTTGGAAAATACTTCATTGTTCAACGGTTATCATGAATCATCTCCGATGGCCCTCTCTCACATAGAATGAACACATCAGCAACGCGACCTTCATGCGTGACTTCATACTGAAGGTACTGGATGTGGACCACTACCCGATGGTTCTGAGGAACACTATCATAGTAGAGCCGTACATTGATGCACCGGCAAAGGTAACTATTGCACTAAGCTGTACAGAGTTATCATTGCAGAATTTGACAAAGAATATGGGGAAGAACAGATGATTGGGCCATGAGCATGATGCTTAATTGTCATCATGTCTCGTCCAGAATTGTTTTTCATTTGTGTACAGTAATTATAAGGTAAAGATAAGCAATTAAAACCTACTAAAAGTTTTTGACAGCCTCCTAGAGATGAATGTGAGAATCTATACATGATTAAAAGTAATTTTGCATATCCACATCAGGTGTGTGTGGACGGATGTGTTTACAACAAAGAGATCATCCACTGGGCCATCTCTGACAGTCTCCACTGGCCGGGACAAGATATCCCCTTCCAGGGTAGCTACATGCCTTCTACCCTCTCAGGTGAGCAAAAGCACCATATTTCCCAGATATATTTGCAATTTTCAAAATTCGATTGTATCTACAAATGGTCTCATTGTGTGGGGCACGGTTTCTATATAGTAATACTGAACCAGCTGATGAATCGTACTGCTAAAATCGTGGAATAGCTAGCGCTGTCTCAACTGCCCGTATGTGTCATACAGGCAAGAGGTAGAAAGTAGTAACTACATTGTCACTAGTTTACGCCATCCACAGACGCGGTCCAGAAGCGACTGTGGGGCGGATTTGACAAGGTGGTGGGCAGGATGGTGGACCACGGCTTCAACAACCAGTTCGTACATGTGGAGTACTTCATCCTGGCCGACGGGCAGGTACTCTTTCCTCTTTCCGAGTTGGAATGCTTTCCTTCCCACATGCACGGGTATGCCAGTCATGCGTCACACACATACCTTTTCTTTTATATCTACATGGATACTGGGCAAGGCCGTCTGTTGGGGCAATGCATCGGCCTTAACATCGTAGTGAAGATGTTGCTGCTGCTACATTCAGATGCCGCTGTTAAAATGTCTAACTGTACGAAATTTTACTCCCAGATCAAGCTGATTGAGGTGAATGCCCGGCCGTCCACTAACCTGAGCGGCCTGTACGCGGCCTGCCTGTCGGGCCCGCTGCCGCTGCAGGTGCTCCTCGGGCTGTGCTGCGGGGTCCGGCCCGTCCCCCCTGTACCCACGGGACGGGCCGCTCTCAACCTGCCTCTCCAAGTCCGCGGCGGCTACACGGGGAAGGTCGGAGACATGGTCAACAAGTCTGAGCTGGAAATCCTAAAGAAAGACCCTGACGTCAAGATCACTATGGTCATGTATTTCGACGAGGAGTTTCTCCCTAGTAAGATCGAGTTTGCGAAGGTTTGGACGTACGGGGCGACTTCTAACGACGCGAAGAAGAAGTGCAGGGAAGTGATGCAGCACGTGGTGAAGAAACCGGAGCATTTGAAGTTTTACTTCCTGTAATTACTATGATTCCACGTGAAAAATTACAGTACACTGTATGGGACTTTCAAATTTACAGACAAGGGCTGAACGAACAATGTAAGACAAATTCATTCGTACATACTCTCATATCAATCCATATATTGATGCGGGAATCTACATGGATATAGCATAGCAGATAACTTATAAATGAAACAACATATTTATTTGAGGTTACAAATACCCATGTAATGACTCCAGCATGTATCGTCTTGATTTTATACCATTACGACAAGCCCAGCTGTACAGATGACGATGGCTCCACTATGATAATTGTTTGCCTAGATGTATCGAAAATAGCATTTGCACCATCAAAATCATATAACACTGTACTTTATGTACGTGCTTCATTCAAAAGCAAGCTTTGGTCATAGCCGCTCGTGGAGTATGTCACCCGAGGTGAAACATACCTATTCACTGAACTAAACAAGCAAATTAGACTCTGTCCTGTCTTACCAGAAGCAGGGGTGTAAATGTGAAATTTAATGTAATTTTTCTAAAAAGTGAAAATAATGTAATATAATATGACTACAGAAAAAAATCGTTATTGCCAAGATTGCAAAACCACGTGAACAACAATTGCGCAATGATCTGAAAACTGGAGCGGAATAATTTTTGATTGACAGAAACGGGGTCAGGCAGAGTGCAGCGACAAATAGACCTTGCACCGTTTAATGGACAGTGAGCTAGGGTACATATATATATATATATATATGTGTGTGTATGGACAAAATGACAGCATTTAGGTCCAGGTTGTCTGTTTCGTCC